CCAGCTCATACATAACATTCCATAAGAAAACTTTCATGTCAATTTTTTATTGCTTTCAAATACAGAATATGTTCATCATAGTGAACGTTCGCTGTCAAGTTCGACAATGCTTTTTTTCTGTTTTTATTGTTTTCGAATACAGAATATATTCATAGCGAATGTTCGCTGTCAAGTTCAACAATGCTTTTTCTGTTTTTATTGTTTTCAAATACAGAATATATTCATAGCGAACATTCGCTGTCAAGTTCGACAATGCTTTTTTCTGTTTTTATTGTTTTAGAATACAGAATATATTCATAGCGAATGTTCGCTGTCAAGTTCAACAATGCTTTTTCTGTTTTTATTGTTTTCAAATACAGAATATATTCATAGCGAACATTCGCTGTCATGTTCGACAATGCTTTTTTTTCTGTTTTTATTGTTTTCGAATACAGAATATATTCATAGCGAACGTTCACTTCAAGTTCGACAATGCTTTTTTTCTGTAAAAGAAAAGAAAAAACACAATAAGATAACTTTTGCAAAAGAAAACAACCAGAAATTTACCACGAACTCCAATATTTTGACATGCAGAATACAGTATCATCGAAGTGCTCTTAGAGCAAATCATCATGAAAATTTTCACACAAAAAATTTAGCTGATCAAAGCTTCCGCTTCAGAACCTTTTCAACTGATCTCAAGAGCTTAGAAGTCAAAGATTTATCCTGTTAAATCATTTATTGTTAAGCGTAAAGCAGTAAAATGGGTCATCGAACCTCGACTTTTAGCATCCTAAACCCTCAACCTTACTGCTGAGCTACTGAGGAGGCATTACTCCTGAAGAACTTGAGTTATCAAAACATTGAACAGATTAAATTTTTTTGTTTACCCGATATAAAACTTACTTGCTCTGGGTTTCTTGTTCGTAATAATTTCGGTACAGTTTTAAACCTGTAAAATAAAAATCAAAGAAAATCCCATGGAAAGTTGTTTTGTTTTTTTACCATATACCACCAATCCACTACAACAATAGAGAGAAAATAAACGAGAACTGAATATAAAAAATAAGCAATCATCCTGCAAAAGGTTATTTCACGTTTATCGAAAAACTTTGACCTACTTTTTATAAAATTCTTTAATGTTATTTTGGGTTGGGTCGCTAAAAAACATTAATAATTACGCAAAGTATAAACAATTCCATAAAAGTTCATATATGATAATTATTTATTTTTTTAAAAGCCATTTAATAGTTTGCAAAAATGGTATTTATGAATATCGTTTTAAGATATATTTTTTCGTCAGGGGTTACCTAAGAAAAGCATGGCGTTTCCAAAGAAACACGAAGTCTGAAATTCCAAATAAAAACACTATAGAGGCCCTTAAATGTAATCTAAATAAATTTCTATCACAATTACTCTAAATATATTTTTTACTTAAAATGTTACATAGGTAATAATGAGATGTAAGCATAACCATAAAGTGAAATTTTATGAACGAAACTCTCCGTAATGATTAAAGTATTTACACAAAAAACAATTTCATTCACACTAACAAAAAAGTAGGTTCGCATTTATACCCTAATTTGTAACATTCAAAATTAATCATTAACAATAAGAAATATGCTAGTTAAAGTCTCATCTAAAAATTTCATAGAGATAATTAACCCTATACTTAATTTAACATCTGTAATAAAGTTACTTAATTATTTTTTTAAACTAGGCAATTTTTTTTATCATCTTCATGACAACAGTTATTATCCTAAATTCCAAGTATTACAAAACATGGAAACTGTAGCGATAGAAATTGTAAAGAAAATATTATCTTAATTAGTAACATCGTCTTATTTTTTATTCAAATATCACGATTTTCTCATTTGGAGTCAGTTGTGAGAAGAAAAAAATCACAGAGAAATCTTGGGTTTATATCACATATCAATAATTATATAAACCACACAGCTAAAATTCTAATAAAAGGCTTAACCATCTTCTAAACACCATTTAATTTAATTTCTAACTATAATATACTATAAAAGTATTGGTGGGCATTACTCTTCTTAACACCATTAGTATTAGCACTGATTTTTTTTTAAAACAACAGTACATCGAATAAGAAGCAAAAACTGGAACTTTAGAAAAGCAAAAATAAACACGACGTTTCTGATTAACTTTAAACTATGGGAAAGAAAAACTTAGAATACAATCTGCTATTTTCTTTATGTTTAACACGAGCTTTTTTCAAACTTAAGAAGAGGAAATAAACTAGTGGTGAAGTCCTTAAAATTATTTCTCCATAACCGTTTATCTGCGTTACAGTATGAAGAGATATATCAACGACATTACAAAAACATTTTAAACATCCAAGAATAAACTACAAATACACCATAGTGTTTCAATTGGATACACTGCTAAAGTTGATGCACGTACAGTTATCGAAAGTTACATAAGTAGTATAAATTATTTTAGTAAAGGCGTCGAGAGATTTATATTTAACATGAATACAGACTTGAAAGGCGATTTCGACTACAAGTCAAGTTTAAGAACGTTTTTAATAATTCTAATTTATTTTCGGTCACATTGTGTTACCATATTAAGATAGCAAAACAAAAACAACGTTTTTTGGCTCAGTTAAAGGTAAAATCAATATTATAGGTTACAGCTGACTAGGTTCGGTAATACAGTTACCATCATAGGGGCTAGTGTTTATAGACTAACACCGTAGACACTAGCCCTGATGACAGTAATTGTGTTACCGAAACTAGTCGGCTATAGCCTTTAATGAAAATTTTACCTTTTATTGTGTCAAAAAATGTAGTTTTTCGGTGTGCTTTTTTACCCTTAATGAACGTACATGAACAATAACCAGTTCAGTCAGGGGGCGTCACTATAAGTTGCCGTTTTCACTTTCCTGTAGTGGTTATGACGAAGAACATTATTAAATTGATTTGAACTTAAAAACTGCAACAAAATCAACGTTTTTGTCAATAACGATTTACCATTCTATGGTTACAGGAAACTCAAAGAAATTATGTTAAAATAAGTAATCTTATAATGATGAATCTATGAGAGAGAAAGGGGTAAGATTGAAATCATCAGGATCTCCACAGTTAATATTTTATGTAATAAAGCTTAGATTTTCCTTTACTATTTGTTTCACATGGAAAATTTTGAATGTACGATAAGAAAACATGTGACAAAGGACTGATTATCTATTAAGCTTTTCTCTGACAGTCTGTGAATCACAATTTAGCATGATTTGAAATATTTAAATTTAATCTGGGAAGTATATTAAGAAACATAAAACAGTCTTAAATAACTTGGCCCAATACAAAAAGTGTCTCAGAACTGAAAGCATCAGTTTGGTGAGCAGAATTCTCACCGATATACAACATCACTGATTTTTTGTCAGATATTAAAGAATTAGTTTTAAAACACAACTAATACATTTTATGTGTCTTTGTTTCCGATTTAAAAATTTAAAGACCTTATTTGACTCAAAGTATAGCAGAGAACAAGTATCAAAGAGACTACTGTTAAAATTATAATGGAAAGACAGGATGTTGGAGAAATATGTAAAATAGCACAAACTTTCTTCTATCAAATGTTTTCGAACATAATGGACATCTATATGAAACACATGGGGCCTAAAAACTAAAGTTTATATGTTGTTGAGATGAGCTATCTGTCTCTGCCCACCACAAAAACTCTCAAACTTACCACTAATAAAGGTTAAAAAAGGTTTTATTAAGACAGAAATATATGATTTAGCTTATTGTTACTATTGTAATGTAATTTCCCGTTTAAATCTAAACTTTAAACACTGAGGGTCTCTTTACGTGTGCTTCTTAAGATTATTGGTTTATGTTCTCGTCTTTCTTGCATGGCTGATGTTCATCATATGATAAACTTACATAAGTATAAATTTTTTATGATATATTTTTGTAACCTAATGACATCTAATTGATTTCTGTAAATCACTGTGCAAGTCTTATTACTGCTTAGCAAATTTCAAGTAACAATAATACAGCACTATCTGTAGCTAATCTAATACTTAAACTTACAAAAGTTATTTAATGATAAAAATTCCCAAAATATTATTTTCCATATAAATGTCGTGAACAAGCACGTTAAACTATTATGTAAATTATTTTCCTTAAAAGTCTGATTCTTATTCACATTCAAGAACATACTCAAGAGTGTACAGGATTACTTAGTTCAAGTTTTCAATGAAATACAAATAACAGTGTAATACTTTCACACCAGTTCCTCATTTTACATTAGCATGATATACAACCTGAAAGTCTTACAAACCAGCATTTTGTATAATTGATTCTAAAGTGTACATATCTCCAGGACAATAAATATTCACAAAAATTACATCTTATAACTTAAATATGCCTTGAAACCCCAACAAACACTAACAAAGACACACAAGTTCAAAATATTTTTTAGTAACACACCTTTTCTTACATGTTTATATTTTTTTACATTAAATCTAAACTTTTCTCAACAATTTCACATGTTTCATACCCATGACTAAAAGTTAACAAAAATACACACATTTACTCCAAACAGTCTTTGTTTTGTGTTATTTATATGAAGTTAAAATAAAGATGCACAAAATGACAATTACTGTTTGTAAGAAAATATTTTTCCTAGAATCTCATTATAATAATTTAAATAAGCAAATTGATAAAAGTGAGGGGGTGAAAATAGTAAATGTATCTCTTTAGAATAGTGTTGCAGGTACATTAGAAAATGTGAGAGGACCTCTTCAAAGCAAATGTAGTACCTTTTAGCGCCATCTGATGCTCATAAATGGCATTTATTGACTTTACACCCAAGCCTTTCAAATTGAAAATTTTATCTTTAATGCTCAAAATAACTTCATGATTTAAAGAATTTTATCTTAGAGTCTCTTTCTCTATTGCATTATACAGTTCTTCTGTTTTTTAAGAAAATTTTCTAATACTTCCTTTTAAATAATTAAATATTTATTATCAATAAAAAGAATTTATCTACCTTCAAACAAACATTTACATTTTATAGAAATACCATCTTTCTATTTTAGAAAAAAATAGCTTATGTGAAGTGATACATCATTATGCTGCTTTATCTCCATGGGAGACTGCTTTGGGAATATATTTACATTATTCTAGCTTTACTCCCAACTGAATAATAAAAACAATCAACATAAGAAACATGACAACTTAACCTCGGGAGAATCTTACATAATAACCATAAATTTAAGAAGATAACAAACTACCTCAAAAGATGTTTCATACTGAAGATTAATCCAGTTAATTGTTATCCCATCACAAGCAAGTTCCTCTTGGATGTTAAAAGAAATCCATAAAACAGCAAGTTTCAAGGTTACTGTATACTTGCTTTTTTGTTCTATTTTCTGCAATTAAGTATTCATTTTATTAATTATATAGGAGTCTACAGTCACCTATTTTATTAATTAATCAATTAAATATGAAATAGGAATATGATATAAACCATTCAAGTAATTTTAGAGTGGCTTGATGCTTGGGAAAGAAGTCATTTACTTTGAACCCCACAAACTATGTGGAGATATTTACCTAATAGTTAATACATGAACAAAGCACCTGTAATATAATGATTTTAAACTCTTACTTTCAACTAAGTATATCAAGCAAATACACAAAATACTGTTTTGTATGAATTTCACTGGTTAAATTTACACAAGTTACAAAAAACCTGGATATTCTGTTTTCTCCAGAATAAGAAAAACAAGATTTGCTATATACATATTTTATAGTAGGTAATTTATGTTTAGTCTTAAAAAAAAATTAAATAATTTGTTTACTTTAGTCAAACTAGTTGAGATATTTCTTATCAAATTAGTGATATTTTAATTCACACCTTCCTCCCCTTTTTTATTTATGAATGCACAGATGCCTCGTTAAAATTCAGTATTATGTTCAAAGTATTAGGCTTCAGTTACGTACTGCAGCTGACATTTCTACCTATACAAATAATGAGATTTCACGACAACTGCCATACACTACCTTCAGGAAGTTGGACGAATTTCTTCAGCTGATCAACCATTCTCCACAGTTATTAAGTACTTGGAAAAAAGAATAAAATAACATGCGAAATCTTACAAGTGAAATGGTTAAAAACAGTGAAGACACATTATGAGTCTCACTACAATGGTGAAATCTAGATCCCATTCAATGTGTGTTCAGGGTACTTCTGTTCTCAATGGGGAAAGTTGTAGTCTCTGTCACCATGGTTATGTTGGTTATAATCTCTCAAGTCTTCACCGAGTTGTTCACCATACTCTGTCTTATGCCTCAACATACTATCATGCATGTCATACTCTTCGTAATAAGGATCGTGATCTCGTGCCCATTCACGTTCCCTAGCGTGATCTCGTTCTTTGAGGCCCTAATATCCTGGTAACTGCCTCCAGTGACATGAGAATCATTAATGTGGCTTCCCGATGGAAGATGATGGTAATGTTCAGCTTGTAATTTTAGGTCTGATGAAGACAGCTAAAACAGAGTATAAAAAGTATTCGGGTATGATGAAGATGACAACCTCAATATCTAACTCAACATAGTTATCAACAACACACCGTAAATAAAAGAACCACTACAAAAGTGTTAGATGAAGCAATCTATAACACACATTACAAGTCTATACTCCAGCTTCAAACAGTTCAGATTACAACTTTTACCAGTTATCGATGAAACTTGCAGCAGTCCACAATCAGCCAATATCTGAACTTGAAACAGCTTATCTTACAATTGTCACTTGTTTATAATTTCTCTTTCAAGCAGCTTTTACTACTATCATCGTTTATAGTGGAACTTGCAACATTTCAAGCAAACACTTGAAACAGTCCGTACTATGGTCTATAATAATACAAACTATAACTATAATTAATCTGTCATTGAACCTGCAATAGTCAAAATACAGCAACTACCTTTCTATACAGCTGTAATCAGCCCATACAACAGCTTCCAAGAGTTCATAATAAAGCCATCATCAGTACATACTAAAGTTTGCAACAACTTGTACTAAAACTGTAATCAGCCTACATTACAGTTTGTAACAACCCATATTATCATTTGTATCAACCCATATTAAAACTGTCATCAGTCCATACTACAGCTTGCAACAATCTATGCATCAATTAGAAAGCAACTATCAGTAATGAAAGTTTTAAGATGCTTTCCTGCCAAGATGATTCCCATAACCCAAATAAACATCAATGTCAAAGAGCAAAAAAGTAAGAAAAAGTCTACTGTAGATCAGACAGTACATCATTTTTATTTGTTTTTGATGAATGTTAATAGGAAACTTACTTCTGAAGGTTGTGTTTGTAATCTGTCAGTCTGTATCCTGTGATGCATCATTCCAGTACTTCTAGCACTGTTTTCCATTCTGGGGGTTGGTTTAGGTGATGGAATTGGTCTATGGATGTTAGAAGTTGGGCTTTTTATTGGTGGATGAGTAGCTCGCCAGTAAACCTCAAGATACTCGTAGAGATGCTCACATGCCTCTTCCAACTGGTTTTCATCAAGTATGACATCAAACATTTCCTGCAAGATGAGAAAAATGTATCTTTCAACACATGATACTAAATGTTACAAAAATACTTTTTTTTTCCAGCACAAAAGAGGCTTAGAATTATCAATACATTTTACTGATGGAAAACTACCAATGATCACACACTTTCACAATTACACACATTTGCATCAATGATATTTGAAACATACATTGCAATGGATAATTACTACCTAACACATAAACAGAAATTGTCATTAGACCACTATTTGTTTGTTAATAGTTCCTAAAAAGTAGACAATAAGGACTACATAAGTATACATTTTTAATTTTAGTCCCGTGAGATTATCTATTGAAATAATTATATTATGCATCTTTAAATATTTTGCCAAACAAGGGATTTTAAATGTGATTTTGTATTCATAATGAATGCATACTATTTATAATTTTAGGATGTATACTTGTCTGGCTAAACAGATCTTTGTTTAAATTTGGGGGATTACAGCCTATATGTGAAACTGAAAACTATTAATACAAATATGTCCACATATACAACATCCCTACTAAAATTTATCCTGAAATTCCCTAGGTATGGGAAGAACTGATGTTCTATAATAAAACTCAATGAGAAAAGGTATAGACACACATTAGATTAGTGCAAGATATCCAAATATGTACGTCAGAGAAGACATGCAGACCTGTTCCCTCACAGTAAAGTTAAAAACTTGGGGCAGCCATGCAATCTGATAACATTTGAAGATTCAAGATCAGTCTTTAACCCATTATCAAATGAAACTATCAGAAAAAAAAGTACTTTTTTAAATCTTATTCTTTAATTTGAAATTAATATATCTTTCTTTTGATTCATATACAGTGGCATGTTGTTTTTCTATTTTAATATCAAAATCCTTTCACTATTAAAAAAGAATGAAACAGATATTTTAACGAGTTTAGTCCTAACTCTTCCTACTTATCTTTGTTTCAAACATTGTTTTTTGGAATGTGTTGTTGTATGTTTTGTTTACTATCCTGTATTCATGGTTTCCACAACTTGGGCAGAATAAAATTCACTGACTTCTCCCTCCAGATCTTTTCCTGAACATGTGATCTATACTTATAATGTATAATTTCCTATATTAAAATGTAAAATTGCAAAACATTATTCATGTATTTGTTTAATAAATAAAAGCAGAATGTATGTTAAGAGTCACAGCTGATTTAAATATCATCCTGTAAAGTTACAATATCATCAGTCATGCCGTTCTGGAATTATCGATACTTTATCACAACAAAGGCAGTCTATTTATTTATGGTGGTGCATACGAATAACACTTTTTGCTTTTAACTTAAATTGCAAAAACATTATTACAATACTAGCTGGAATACTCTTCCTATGGATGAAAGTTATGTAAATTCATGATTAACGAAAGGTTATCTTAGGACTTGAAAGTTGCTTCCCTTATATCTAATTGTCAAAAAATGAAAAACACCCATAAAAAATGCAAAACACAAAACTAAAATTTTTATATACATATCCCCCCCAGACCCAGTGAACATCCATACCAAATTTGGTGAATATCCATATATAGGGAGCAAGATATCAGTAAAAATGCAAAAACGCCTATTCAAAATGCAAAACTGAAAATTTGTATGTACCCCACATAGACCTAATGAATCTCCATACCAATTTTGGTGAAGATCCATCCACACCCTGAAAAGTATTTACATGGACATACAACAGATAGTACTATTATATTTATATAGATAAACAAACTGCAATTATTGTGCTTACACTTTTAATACATGAAAGGAATATGTTCACTGTTGTAAAATGGAATATTCTTCAACACATAGTTCTCATATATTTATTAAAGCAACATTTTCTGATGCAAACATGCATAAAAATTTACAAAAACTTCATTTGCTAACCACACACTGCAGTAAACTCATATTTCTGTTATTCGTAAGACAACTGGACATTTTAACGAAAGCATCCATTGAACCAGAGTACATTGTATTATTTTTACATATGCTTTTAAAATGTTAATTATCAAATTTATCTATACCACAAATATTGAAATCTTTGAATTAACTTGACCATATACTTAAGACAGATCACTTCACATAAATATCTTCAGGTTTAAGTAAGTTTTGTTCATTCACAAGATCAACAGATTATTTATGCATGAAATCAAACATGCTAATAAAACATTTATATTTGCATTATTCCTATGCATTCACAATATACAATTATACCCGTAAAGGCTACGGTAACCGGAATAGACACGAATGCCACTGACAGTGATATTCCATTACAGTGTCACAGCACTCAGATGTCAAGTGTTTCATTTTGTTCTTGGGTAATGTTGCTTATTGCATGAAATAAAAACTGCTACTACAAAAAAACTTTACTAAAAGTACTCATATTAATTTTATTTTGGTATGAACTTTAGATTTAGACACAATGAAAAGCACCGACAAATCACCTGTACTCAGCTATAGTAGCACAAAATAATTCACATGTAAATAGGAAGAGCATATCATGATCCGAAAGCCCATGTTTTCTATACAATACTAAATTATTAATCCAATTCTATCAAGCTATGCAGGCTCATCTCTACCTTCAGTCTGTATTCTTTTCTACCCCTAGCACCTTGTTCATTACTCGACATAAAAGAAAGTTTCATAATATATTACTCAGATATCATATCTATTAAATTATAAATTATTAGGATGTATTTAGTCATTCTCTGGTGCAAGATCAACTATTTCTACAAAGATTCATGCATAAAATAACATCCTTCTCTTGGAAACCCTTATATGTTCTAATTGCTGTCAAGGAAACATTCTATATTTCAATATATTTTAACTAATTTTTTTTTGAAAACTTGTAGGTATCTCCAAATTGCTAATATTATACATTGTCATCCATGTTTTGCTTTATTTGGGTTTTCCTTAACTGTCACTTGTCATATTCTACGTGTTTTGTGGAGATACTGCCTGTCAAGGACCCGTGCCTTGCTGTACTACACATCATAAGCTTAGTGATGTATATTTATTTTATTATGAATTAAAACTAAATTACTAATAATTTATTATTCTATATAATTATTATTGTTATTTTTGATAAGTAACTATATGAAATAAAAGAAAAACTCACCAAAATTGGTTCTTTGAACTACCAGGCTTTACCAAAATAAACAAACTGTTAATTTTTGTTTTAATATCTTTCAATTCTTTCCTACACAAATATTTCAAATGGCATAATATACCCAGTGTATTATGTGTTACTTGTATGACTACTTAAGGATGGTTTTATTAATGCTGTAAAATTTGTAAGATGAAAACAACTTATTTAATAAAAACAGCCTATCTCTAAAAAGAAATTTGTTAAGGACTTTTAAATTTGTTAAGTCTGTAGTACTGGGATTCTTCATGTTCCATTTAGGCAGGAACTAGTTATTGTATACATAATCCATTAACCAAATGTGCATGGGCAGAGTCCATTGAATTACAAGTAAAAGTCTTATCACTCTCCACAAAACTAGCCTCATCTAGAAAGTCAGAAAAACAAACTTGAGGAACCTCACCAAATTCAACAAGGTAAAAGCACAAGGAACGTACGAGGAAGTTAAAGATCTGTTATCTTTTAAGCAAACATCTACCAGCAGAAAGATAAAAAATTAAATCTATAAGATTGAGGAATATTAACATCTTGGTGTAAATTCTAAGAAGGAGATTTAGAAAGTTTGTGATTTTTAGTCACAGAAAATTTCAACAAGGAAAAAGAAGAGAATGAAAATATTAAGACTACAAGATAGCTGAAATATTAAAATAATTGTTTTTATCTTCTGTTTCTACAAGAGAAGACATTAACTATATTTCTGACTCTGAACATTCTATGGTAAGTATTGGAAATGTACTTGAGGTTAAGTAGAAAAAATGTGGGATTAAAAATACATAAAGCACCAGAGCCAGACTATGCTATGAACCATTTGACCCAAAGCCAAATGTAATCAGGATATTCAGAAAGGTATATTTCTCTTCACCCCACTCAAGATCTAAGGATAACTTGACTACTAGCTAATGATACTAATTACACTTAATAGAGTGAATGTTACTTGGTGATGATATAATAGCACCCCCCTCCCCCTGCAAAAAAAAAGGTTGGCAAGCAAAAAGCACTTCAAAACTGCAACTGAGAGAAGCAACCCTTAGAAGCCAGACTGAAATTTCACCAGGGTTTTAAGAAGGTCAAAGATCAAACATAAGCCTCTCTCTTTCATTTATGGTAGGTCAATAAGCAGTGAGCAGGTGTCTGAAGAATAGAGTATTGGTTATGTTACTCCTATTTTTAAATGGGGTGATAAGAATTACCTTGGAAATTATAGACCAGTTAATCTTATTTCTGTAGTGGTAAAAATACTATCATGTCTCATAAAAGAAACTTTACAAAAGCATTTATTAAAATATTATAAAAGAAATCCAACTGGATTTCACCAAAGGAAAGTCTCGTCTTACTAATGTTAGTTCTTTTCAAGGATGTTACCTTGTTACCTGAATGATAGAAAGAGTGTGAACTTGGTATATTTAGATTTTGAAAAAGCTTTTGATAAGATGCCATGCACAAGATTAGCTAAGAAAATCACATCTGTATGTGTAGGGGAAAGGCTAATTAATTGGATTGCAGGATGGTTGGACAGTTTGAAAGCAAAAGGTTGTTTTTAATACAGTCCAGTCAAATTAAACTCTTGTTACTGCAGGGGTCTCAGGGGTCAGTGCTTAGGCCTTTGCTTTTTCTTACTTATATTGACAGTATTGATGGAAGAATAATGAATAAATTAGTAAAGTTTGCTGATGACATTAAACTTTTTAGTATTTCTAGCTGTAATGAGGTATTACACAATGAGTTGGATCAATTAATTGGAAACTTCAACAAATATTTGACAAATGCCATTTATTTACAGTATGCGTAAGGTAATACATTTGAGTAATCAAAAGGGAACCCACTAAATAGTGTGATTGACGAAAAGAATCTTGAGTGTTGGATAACTTACTAAGTTATCTTTTACTAGTGACAAAGCTAATAAAGTTTAGGGGGTATTTATCAACATGTCAAAAGAGGTAATTATCTCTCTGTGCAAACCAGCAGTTAGGCCTTACCTGGAGTACTGTGTACTGTCTTAGTTTCCTTATCTTTATAGGGATAGTGACTCAATGGAAAGGGTTTGATTAGAAGTGAGCAAACAGAATACTTTCTAGGATGGAAAAGTTATTTTGCAAGGATGGCTTAAAATCTCTCAACTTGTTTTCTCTTGCAAAAACAAAAATTGGTAAAAAATTACTTTATTGAAGTTAAAGATTATCTTGAAGATCAGTGGATAATGGCCTCCAATTTCTTTGCGCTTTATTTTAAGGAAACAAAACAAGAGGATACACTGAAGACTTGAAAAAAGACAGGCAAGTCTCCAGTTAAAGCATTTTTATTTTTATAAAAGGGCAACTGATTTATGAAATGAGTTGTCATCATCAGAAATGGAGGCCAGCACTCCACAGGAGTTTAAAACATGAATCAATAATTTCCGTAAAAACAAAGGGAGGGTTCGAAATTTTACTTTTCTCAAGGGTAGGTGTGTAATGACAGCTTTGAATGTCCATATGGTCCTTTGCTGTGCATAAGTAATAATACCTTGAAAAAAAAACACAAGTTCTAACCATCTTATTTCACAAAAAAAGGAGACACAATTAGCACGTATAAAGAAACAAGAAAAAAAAAAGACTATTTCAGGTAATAAGTTACAAAGGTAAAGGGCAGATAGAGGTAAACCACATGATACACAGTGGTTTGCCTATCAGAATGATTATAGATGGCCATAATCACATGAAGATGCATAGTCATTTTGGATAACAAAAAGTCATGCACAGGGGTGGAATAAGTTGAAAGTAAATAACTTAGATCTTTTCTTGGCACAAACTAGAAGTTTGAAGTATAGTATCATATTTGAAATACCAGTGTAATTTTTTCACTGAAACATACAACACAAGTTTCATACTTTTGGTATACTCTGAAAATACTTGGTTCATCACTGCTGTGCAGTCATTGTGATTTTCTAAAGCAAACTTGAATGTTTTACAAGTGCTTCTCCAATGTTGGTCTGTAAATCTGATAGCAATAGTTACAAACCTGCAAATCGTGCTCTGATTTGTTACTAATCGACTAATGAAAAACATTCATTTAAAATCACATTCTTCTAGATAGTTTTATTATATAATGTTTTATTTTTAAATAGGCCCATACACGTTCACTATCTCAAGCTGCCTTTTAAAGTTTTAGCAGACTTTTTATTGACTAAAACTAAAGGAAAAATTATGAAAGGAAAATCACTAATGTTCAAATTAATTTCTTTACAGCTGATTGTATCTTTATAAGATCCAAAATGCCAGTCACTAGACTTATGGACAGAAGGAAGAAAATTCTATTTCACACTGAGCCAATCACAATTTATTTGAGACTTTAATACATTTTGTATTAGTTAATATAGTGCACAGATGGTATTACTAGCCTACAGAAGAACCCCTGGTATGAGAACATAAACTGAAGATCATGCTGTTACAAACTAGTGATTTCCTTAATCAACAGATTAGCATAATTATTTTACTTTTTTAAGCTAATGAGCCAATTCAATTAACTGCAGGATTTAGTAATCATAACAATTCTTAACAAAGTGTCAAGTACCAGCCCAAAAATTAATTAAAGATCCATAAATGTAGAAGTGCATTGCAGTATCGCTACTAAAAATGTTTTAAAGAAGCAGCATTTACCATGAATACTTACATGAGGACACTGTGATAATTTATCCGCTGCCACCATCTGTACATTAAGATTACGACTCTGGGATTTCCCTCGAGACTTTATCAATCGCTGTAACACCTAGTATTAATAAATAATATTACATCACTAGAAAGCAAAATCTAACAGAAAGTAATTAACACTCTTTCAAAAGTTACCTTGGCATTGAAACAATACACAAACTAATTTTTAACTACATGTAATTTATTTTGTTTTCACCTTTAAATAGTTAAGATAAAACCCCTTGGCAGAAAAACAATCAAAAACTAATCAAATAGCAGCAAAACCTTTTAGCTATTCTTAAATTTTAATGTATACAACAGGGTTGTCTGTCTGGTGTCTTAACATCCTAAATTGTGAGTACAAGTGCTTCAGACATACGGTTCATGTGCCGCAAGTTGTGAAGAGTTTATGTTTTGTGTGTCACATGTTGTGAAGAATAGTATGAGTACTTCAGACATACAGTTCACATGCCACAAGTTGCAAGGAGTAGTATATGTACTTCAGACATGTTTCACGTGTCACAAGTTGTGAGGAGTAGCATGTGTACTTCAGATGTAAAGTTGATGTGCTACAAGTTGTAAGGATTAGTATGGGTATTTCAACATATGGTTCATGTGTCACAAGTTGTGAGAAGCAGTAAAGATACTTCAGACATATGGTTTATGTGCCATAGCCAGGTTCCTACTTCCTGAACTACGATCATCTGTATTCAATAGACATGCATAGCAAATGGTGTACATAAACATAATTCCCATGAGCCCAAGGAAATAAATGTTGCCCATGGTATGGGTACCTTTGTTAGTAATACTATACAGTTCTTAAACGTTTTTCTATTTTTGAATTCATAAAAGTAATTCATTCTTTCACAACTTAATTCAACAAATAAAACATGGCATTAAATAAACACATTTTGGTTAATAAGAGCTAAGAGTACACAAGTATTTTAAATTAATGTGTCCACAGTTTTCAAATTATGTTTTTTAGTCTCTCATTTGATTTTATTATGAAGTTACTTATAGAATAAAATAATTAATAAACTTGTTTTAATGTAAAGTATTAACTAGTCAGATTTTCTTAATAACTCTGACTTGTTCTTTTTTTCTTTATAGTTGCACGTGTTGGCATTGTTTGTATAATAAAACTTGAAAAAAGCAACAACAAGTCATATACGTATTTTTAGCATAGTAGGATACAACCACACATACACAAATTACCTTAGGTGACGATATTTTTACATAAACGACAATGGGAGCTAACGATGTTTTTCCTAGTTGAGAAGGGTGGTTTACTGTGTCACAGTCAAGCACCACTAACTGTAATGTTCTGGCAAGCTCAAAAATTCTTTCTATTTCTGCTTGTACCTCAGCTGTTAAAGAAAAAAAAAACATAAATTAATATACATTTTCTACAGTCTCAATGAAATAAAAATAATTTAAAGTGACTAGTGATCTTTCTCCAACCAATAAGAAAATTAAGTTTGTTCACATTAGTAACCATGTGACATGTAATATTAGAATGTCAGTGCTTGATTCAACTAACCCATTTGTTGATCCAATGTGAGTTTGAAATTAATCTCCCAAAACAAAAAAGAACTGCGATTATATCTGTGGACAAATTTTGCAAAATGTCCACGGGTTTTTCTGATTTAATGTAATGTGTTTTTATGCATCTCATGGTTCTTTTTTTTATTATTATTGATTTTCATCATTTCAGCATACACACATTATGATTATTATCACAATATACATAAAATATTTCATATTATCTGAAACAGAATCTTTGTCAAACATGAAAGTAAATCAGTAGTTATGGGTGTGAACTAGGGGATTCTAGATATACCAAGAAATACAGTAGTGGCATTGATATGTTTATTATAAAATTTTAAATAAATTAATTCCACTTCAAGGCTACTGTAATTATATTAAATATTACATCTTCAATATTTCTAGCTTTCTTACAAACTGCATACTCTGAATAGTGTTGTTTGAATAAAACAAGGGGGAACGAATTTTAATTTCTATTGAGGCTCAGATTTCCATTCATAATTTGTAGACTTTCTTTTATGAACAGTTTGTGATCATTATGTCCATAAGTAAGAATTGAAAATTATTTTAAGGAAACAGGGTGTAATGATGTTTTGTTGTGACATAATGATCACGAACTGTTGATAAAAGTCTACAAATTATGAATGGAAATCTGAGCCTCAATAGAAATTCAAATTCATTCTCTCTTGCTTTATTCAAATAACTTTTTGATTCTATTTTAAATTGAATGTTTTATAATTTATAATTTCCTATCACTATTCATTGTATTTTTTAATTAGTAATTATACTAAAGATTATTCAATTTGTATACACTGAAAGTTGAAAGAACAATATCAATACATAAATTTAGTATTTGTTGTAAAATTATTTTTATTTCAAAATAAAATATATGTTTACATAAGTGTGAACAAAAAAAATCACCTAAGCACGAAGACCGATTATTCGCTCTCTCCATGATTGCTCTTTTACTTGGGTTGTTTAAAAGGGACCGCTTGGCTAGTGATATGTCAGCAGTCACTCTAGTGATGATTATTCTGAAGAAAATCACCATTTAATATTCAGACTTTTATAAGACATTTAAAAACATTTTACTTTCTTTTTATATATAACCAGATAGCATAAATTATAATTTAAAACTTTACATTCTTTAAAACAATATACACTATAAATCAACTGGGAATGATAGAAAAAAAATTTAATTTTGTGACAGTGTTTTTTGCATATAACCAGAAAACAATGGAAAGCCTTACTCAAATTTACTTTTTGTTGTTCCACTAATTAACAAAATGGCTTGGAGTACTAAATAGACAGTATAAAACATGAATATTCTATTTTACAATGTACTTTAAAAAGGGGATTCTGTTCTAAAATTATTCATTTGTTAATCTCAATTCATAAACTAGTATTTTACAAAACATTTATTGCCACTTTTAGCAGAAAGTTGTTCAATTTATGTACTTGTTTAAGCAGAGGACTGTACCTAATTGGATACTTCTGTGGACTACATCTGCCTTAGAAGTTTTGTACTTAATGCAGTTGAAATATTATATTACACCTTGAAAATTTAAACAGGTCATGCAATACCTAATATAATATTGTACCAAAAAAGTAATTTTATTTTAAATAGCATGTTTTGTTTTTTGTTTTTCATTTACATAACTAAATCATCAAAAGATAAAAAGTTGAAGTGGTTTAGTACTTTGTTTGTGTGTTTGTTTTAGAGCAAAGACATATTAGGCTATCTACTGTGTCCACCATGGGGATTTGAAACCTGAATTTTAGCACTGTAAGTCCACAGACTTACCACTGTTCCATTGGGGGACAAGCTAAGTACTGATTTTAGTGATGAAAATAATTAATTATAATTACTTTGTTTCATTATTTTTCCTTGAGTACAATTAAACATAACAGGAGGAGAAATATTTATGTAATAAAGGGATAAAAAATAACCGATTTATTCTAGCTTCAAAGTGTGTTGTTTACGACTTATTATATTATTAACATTGCAATATTTGACAAATAAGAATGTTTTTCAAGTGTTTAATAACAACTAAAATTAAAAACGTATTAATTCCCATGCTTACTTATAAGCTATGTTACTGCCCTTCAGAAACCATTCTCTTTCTGTAACTACAATATTTTGACCTATCTTCTACATATACATGATTAAACAATGCATGTCGCAATTCAAACAATTTTGTAAAGTACCATATTAGTACAAATGTACAGACTGATCTACCTTCCTTCAAACTTGTGCTTCAGATAGTCAAAAAGAGCTTTCTGCATCATGTCTGTGACCTCATAGCCTTTAAGGGAAGGGCCCACAAGAACTACTGGTCGCATTGAAGGCACTACGTCATATGGAGGAATATTCTCAGACTATAAGGTAAATATTAAATTTGTAATCATTCCTAGAAATTTCAGTAGCAGAAAGTAGATTGTTAGTATATAATGTTAATCTAGCACAAAAGGTTCAACACTAAAAAAGTGTGTGTGTGTGTGTATATATATATACATATTTTAATATGCACAAATGTTTACTGTTATAATTACTCAAGTTAAATAGCTTCAAATGTGTGTTTTGAAACTTAAGTAATAGTAATTTTGACAGGTATAATTTCTCTGGTTTAAAAAATAAAATGTTAAAATTAGACATTTCATTTACAACTGGACTAAAGCATAATGTTCTCTATAAACATAATGAATAGTACTGGTAGGTTAATATTATTGTCAGCTATGTTTTAATCAAGAAGTTAGTATCGTTCTTTGGCCAAAAGGAAGTTTGATGTCTTGTGAAAATCATGGAGCTAAATATCTGACTAACTAATGTTAGCTTTTTTTCTGCTATTACTTAAAATTCAAATTTATTTATTCTTTACACTTCAAGTCCATAATTTGGAAAGGAGGTTGCCATTTACAATAACTCTTAACAATTTTTCTTCTTTTTTTTCTCAATAATTATATTAATTAACTAAATACAATTTGAACATAAAATCTATAGATTATTTACACAATTTAACTCATTATCAGTTTTCCTAATTTCCTATAAATTTCTATAGAATATAATATATTCACTATTTGTTTCTTATTTTAGTATTTTCAATATCCAAACATATTCCAGTTTAACAACATTTCTATAAATTCTGTTTAATTAATCTGCATGTTTTTTTCATCCATTCTCTTATAATTCCATTTATGTATTATCATCTCTGGCTTTTACACATCTTACACTTTCTCTCTTCCTCTTTCATCTCTCCCCCCGTCACATTTGGTATATTCCACAGTTATTTAACTAAAGATATTTCTGTTTGGTACCTAAAACAGGCACACAGAAAGTAACACAACTTAATCTAAACACACAAATAAAAACATGTTATTAGACTGAAAATTTCTACTGAATTACAAGCATAATGACAACTTTATCCTTGAACCTAAAATACAAAATCTTATAAAGTCAAGTCTACTTTTAAATTCAAAGACAGAAATGATAAAGTTAATACAGTTAGTACCACTCAAATATATACATGTATTGTACTTACCCTTACTTTTGTATGCTAAGGAAACAAAACTTTTCAGTTAGAGTAATTAATGATGTTTCTTTAAATAAAGTTAGAGAGTAGGTATCAAAATGATTCTTTTAATTTACTTATAAACTTAGTTTTATTAGAAATCTGTATAGTTTTTGTGAAAATTCCATTCAAACCTTCTTAAAGAAAGGCTTTTTCTTTTCTTTAGCTGAAGGTGTGGTGATGTTAGGCTTGCTCAGTTTACTGTTGTTGACACTTTCACCATCTTCACCAAGATTAGTATCTAGCCCGTTCTGATCGACTTCAAACCCTATAGAGAGATTCAGTTTTTAACTCTTAAAACCCAAACCAAAAGTTTGTATTTTACTGCTATTAATACACAAATAGAACCAGATAAAACACACTTACCAGGTTTCTGAATATAACATAACTTGAATAAAATAGTGTTTCAATATCTATAAGCTGTATAAAACATGAGATAACATAAGTATGTGATATGATACAGCACTACTGAGTATCTAAAATAAGTAAACTACCAAAGTACATAATAACTGTCAGTTCAACTCTAAAATAAGTAAACTACCAAAGTACATAATAACTGTCAGTTCAACTTTAAAATAAGTAAACTACCAAAGTACATAATAACTGTCAGTTCAACTCTAAAATAATTAAACAACCAAAGTACATAATAAATGTCAGTTCAACTCTAAAATAAGTAAACTACCAAAGTACATAATAACTGTCAGTTCAACTTTAAAATAATCAAACTACCAAAGTGCATAATAACTGTCAGTTCAACTACAGTACAGTATCATGAAGTGTAAACAAATTAACTTCTAATGAGGACTTAAATAGATTTAATATTTCTCCATAAAAGTAATTAACTTGTAGTATCTAACATAAGAACTGGTTTAAAATAAGCACTATGGATGTGTTTGAGAGACTAATCATTTATTAAAACTGAACTGAAATTATCACAATTTATGGTCATAGAGTTTAGATTATTATGTAGTTACAAAGACTAAAACCTCCCAGCACACACATACACATCAGTAAGGTGTAAAAAATCTGTTTTATAAAAGTCATTATGATACCACTGTTGAACATATAAGCTTTGTGCAATTTTTCCCTAAAATAAAAACTAATGAGGTAAATTATTTTGAAAGCATATTTTGAGTTTTCAAAACTTTGTAAATGATTTTAAATTAACTTTTCTTTAGTTCTTCCAGTTGCTTCATTTGAAAAAATATATATTGGTTTCTAGTACAAAAATATAAATACAAAGTAATAAAAAAATCAAAAAAAAAAAGAATGCCAAAAAGTACAGAAACAAGGTAGGGATGAATACATAAAACTATATAAAAATCCCTACACAAGTAGCCAAATCTTTCCAAGAAAAACTTTTATCTACAACTAAATGTTAAATTCCCGTCTTTTTCATGAATTCAGGTTTGAATAAAAGCATTTAAACTAAATATAGTCTTAGAATGGCTAATTCCCATAAGCTTGTAACATTGACTCAGTGGCTACACAATGTATTATATGTGCTGTGTCACCAAGAAAATTTCTGTTTTAAAAGAAATTATCAAAAAAAATTGTTGAGGCAGAAAAAGAAAACATCTTGTAAGAGTCCTTTATCCCTTTAAGCCATTTTTACAACTTGAACAGAGATAATGAAAAATTCATACCCAAGGCCCACATATTTGACTTAATGATTCTCTCAAACTAATATTGTTCTGTTATAGTACATTAAAGCAACAGTGGCAATAAATTCTTTATTTGTGATTATAAACCAAACATATGAGCTTATAAAAAACAACAACACATGAACACTTACAACAAATACAAATAAAAACTAGAGAGACATAATTTTCGCACCTGGAGTAGGAGGTGTAGAACCCCGAGAGTTTGAGGGCTTGGTATTAGCGAGTACATCGTTGACTAAACCACCCATGTTTCCCAATGAAGTTGCTTTGCTTTAAAAAAATTTAACAAACAATAACACATCTAAGAAAAACAAGAATAATAGTAGCTTTAGGATAAAAGTAAGTACAAATACTCACTAAATTATTATGGTTAGTATATTTTTCTTTGATCATGCAAGTCTAATTAGCTTTTAGGAATTTTGTGTGCATTTAAATGTTATTTATTTTCTAAAACATTAACACAATAGTTTGTTGTTTGTGGTGTATTTTATGAAAAAAGGAATAATCTTTTCAAAGAAAAATGTTGTAATATAAAACTAGATATTTGTGATTTGTAGATAATGAGCACTATTCAACACTATATGTGTTATCTTTATTGATATTTTCTTCAATATTTAAAGTTACGAGTATTCTGAAAAGGCTTGATCTATCTTTAATTTTGGCCCACTTTAATGTATATAGACTTCAAAGAATACTAATTCCTATCAACAGCCTGGCTCAACAAGACTAATCACATATCAAGTCTTTGAATACCTTTTCTTCATTAAATTTGATGAAGAAAACACTAATAAATTTTGAACATAATTAGATTATTGAGAAATGAACTGGTAGCAGCACATCTTTCTGTATTTTGAATCCCTGTGATTTAGTGGATAGTTAACACTGATATAATAACATTTGAAACATTTTTGAGAAATGAACTTTCTGTACATCTTTCTGTATTTTGAATCCCTGTGATTTAGTGGATAGTTAACAATGATATAATAACATTTGAAACATTCTTGAGAAATGAACTGGTAGCAGCACATCTTTCTGTATTTTGAATCCCTGTGATTTAGTGGATAGTTAACAATGATGTAATAATATTTGAAACATTCTTGAGAAATGAACTGGTAGCAGCACATCTTTCTGTATTTTGAATCCCTGTGATTTAGTGGACAGTTAACAATGATAAAATAACATTTGAAACATTATTGTCTGTAAAAGAATACCTTTAACTTTCATATAAAGATTATGCTCTAAGTGACATGAGAAATTTCTATGTTATATAGAAATGTTTTTAACAGCTCAAACTACCACAATGTTCTCCTCTTATGAACAAGCTACATTTTCTGGTCCCACATTGAGTGCCAGTTTTCTGGAATAATCTCATTTTGATTTTATTTTCCTGCATCAAATTAAACTCAAGACCCATTGCATACAACTAGACAAGTGAACTAACAAGTTCACAAATGAAGTAATGAGTTAACCCACTAGAAATTGCCAGCAAGGCACTTTTAACAACTAAATCTACAACACTGCTACCATGCTTTCTCAATAATCTTAACAAATCATTACTCAATACCATATTTTCTTGTGTCTTCTTTAGTAATTTTTGAAAAGTGAAACATATCAAGAAGAGTCTTACTTACTAAAATAATGAGTCAGTCTACTATACTATTACATACTATATGATTCATTAAACAAGAAACAAAAGCATCGCTCTTAAACTGAAATAAATAGGCTGTAAATCAATAAAAACTTTTATTATAGATTTATTTCTGGAGAATGAGATTTTCAGCTAGCACTATCCATTAAATCATAAAGCTTAGAACAAAAGTAGATGTATAGAATCTGAAAATTGCATGCACAGAATTTTAAACATCGATTTACAAAATTCTTTGAAAATTATATCTTTAACTTAATATTATACAACTTTTAAATAAAACAAAGAGGAAAGTGAGGTATTTTATTAAAAAATAACAAGAATAAAGAAAAATAATAACAAATTAAAGAGTAAAAATACAGTTTAAAATGTTTTCAGCAATTTATTTCTATGTCACCCACTGTTAATTTTTCTTTTTATTCACTTAACTTATCAAAGTTATTTTAGGGGTTTCACTTACACATAAGTTATACCTGCATACTTTATCTTAGTTGACTGAAATACTCAACTACTTCAATGTTCATGTATCACACATTATGTAATTTTTTTATGAATTAAAATTAGCTTTATATTTAATACTAGCTGAAGTACCCGTCCCCTGGATGGAAATTATGTAAATTCATGATTAACGAAAGGTTATCTTAGAACATGAAAAGTTGCTTCCTTTATATGTAAATGTAAAAAATGCCCATAAAAACTGCGAACCACAAAATGTGAAACCGCAATTTTGTATGTATCTCTCTACATGCCCCAACAAACCTTCATGACAAATTTGGTGAATATCCAACAACAGGGGGCAAAGTAGTAGTAAAAAATGCCCATATAAACAACAAAATGCAAAACTGAAAATTTGTATGTAATAAACCTCCATGTCAATTTTGGTGAAGATCCATCCACACCCTGTGAAATAGTTACATGGACATACCACAGACAGTAATACTACTATTTATAGAGATTTTGGAACCAAATGTTCTTTGCATTACACAAGATTACATGTACAAAGTTACATCAGCATAGCTGTTACTGATTGTCCATTTGCTTATAAATAAACCAACTGATACTTCCACAAAAAGGAGTAAGTTTCAAATATAAAACAATCAGAAAACAAACTTTAAAGAAATTATTTGTTTTTCTATAGTGAAAATCTCATTAGCACTGCAACAGAAAAGCAAGGCACTTTGATTGATGACTGTGTCTACAAAGAAATATTTCAATTAAATCTACTCTGTGATGTAATGCTGTGATGATAACTAATTTTTAAACTAAAATTTAAATAAAATCCTTTTTCTCATGAATGGTGAACAATATTGGATGTCAAGTATGATTACATAGTTGTAGAACTGACAGACGATTCCAGAAAAGTCTGCAGGCCCATTAGCTTTCCGCAGGAACTAGCAGTTATACCTGCCCGGCATTTCTGCTGGTAAATTAAAATTCATATCAGTTTAACAAGTCAGATTAATTTTGTCCATAATCTATAGGCAAAATAGTAACTCCAGCTAAGATAGAAGGATAGAGTGGCACTGCCATGACTCTATGTACAAGACCAAACTGTTGGTCAGATTTGGGGTGTTGTCATAACTGTTCCACCAAATTGTAATGCCACTATTCTTATGTTTCTCAACAGATTTAAGCACTTTTATATATCACTATAAACAGAGTAACTTCATATCTGTTTTAGATAGAAAAAGCAGTAAAATTATTGTTATTCTTCTTCCTCTCCTTGTTGAAGAGACAAAACATATAGTAAAGAAAATAGGTCCAGTACCTAACAAAATTCCACCTAAAGATACTAATCTGAACTAGAGTTTGACAACTATAGCGTATATTGTTTTTACTATATTGTTTAATTCTTGTAGTTCTATGTTGCATAACATTCTGTTTTGTGTATTGTTTCATTTCAGATGTTCCTGTAATTGTCATTAACTGACAACTTATTTCTGGCTTGAAAAACAGCATTTGCTCGAAACATTGCAAAGTTAATAAATTATTACTGTTGTGTTTACAGGTGATCTTTTTCTCTAAAAGTCTAATTTATAGCATATATATATATATATATATATTAATATTCTTGATGAATATTTCTTTGATAATTTTAATGGTGAATTTTTGTCTCCACACCTCTAGCTTAAAGTTGAGAACTGAAGGGCCTACAGGTATATTGAAAATCTGAAATGAAAGAATAAGCATGATGGTCTAAGATGCTGCATCTGGGTTGATAGTTTACTTTGACAGCTGGGGTTTGAAGCCCACTACAACTGGAATGTTATTTTTAATTAATTATAAAATAATAATTAAAACAAAAAAGCAATATCCAATCAAAACACTTTACATGTACAAAAGCAGCCAAGACAGAATAAAAAAGTCAGAATTATAAGAATTTTAAATAACACAAAGAGCCACGTTATATAAAATTAAAAAGCAAACCCTGTAAAGAGGAATGTAAAAATGGGTAAATTAAACAAGAAAAAAAATTAGGGAAAAATTGGCCTCCTTGTTTTATTGCAACTTGAACAAACAGTAACATGAATATAAAAAGACAGTTAAGTTTCCCCAATGTTCTTCTTATAAATTATAGAAGGGTTTACCTTTATATATAACTTGACTTCTTTTTTTTACATCTTTATGTGGCTCACCCTTTATTCTAGCTTAGTTCTTTTTGGACACATAAAATTTTTTTAATTAGATAAATAATTTTATAGCCACACTCTTTCACAAGAAAAGCATGCAATGATAATTTTCTAAGCTACAGACCTAGTATAAAGTTTACCCGTGCGGGACTGTGACTGCTGTATCCTAAGATTTTCTAATTTAACAGGACTTGGGATAAAGCCAACATCACATCCTTCCTTAACAAGCCTTCCAATCCACCAGTCATTATTGTACTTCTGTTACATTTAAAGGCAAAATAAAGGCTGTCAAAGACTTATAACAGTAAAAACTTTTTTAAATAAGAGGTCTTTGTTTAGAAGAAACTGAACTAAAATACCTTATTAATCACTGGTTAATAAAACAAACACAAAACAGAACTCACACTGATGATAGTGTTTTATGTTAAAGAACTATTCATCTTTTAAATTAATGTTCCATAAACATACAATATAATCTTTTTTATTGTCATGGTTAGTAGCCCATACAATCATCTAACTGTATGCATTAATTATTATATAATTTTTGTTTTATAACTAAACATTAATTATTAACTAATTTTTGTTTGATAACTAAACACTAATTATTAACTAATTTTTGTTTTATATCTAAATATTAATTAACTAATTTTTGTTTTATATCTAAATATTAATTAACTAATTTTTGTTTTATATCTAAATATTAATTAACTGGTCTTTGTTTTATAACTAAATATTAATTAAGAATCTTTATCCTAATTACAAAAATTAGTATTCAGTTATAAGAAGGGAACTAAATTACTATTTAATAATTAAACTCAGTTGATTGTATAGGCTGCTGCTCATGATAATTACTGATATATCCAATTGCCACAATCATACTGCAATTACTTAATTATATTTTTGCATCTCCTTCAACTAACTAAAGTGGAGAAAATAATATATCATGTAAACAACCAAACTCTATATTCACCTGTAAAAACACAGCATACACACGTGGTCACAAATAAATAGACACCACCTTTTCAGAAAAAATTAAATTTTTCAGTCATATTTCACATGAATTGATATATTTATAATTTAATTAATATCTAGTAGATCT